GTTTTATTGCCCTTTGAACCATGTCTAACTATTAACCGTGCCATTATGAGTTGTAAACCAGTTGGGGAACACGCAGCTCACGTTACGCTATCGAATTACATTACCCACAAGCTGCTTGTGTGCATGCCTTGTGAACCATTTTAATTATATTATTAGTATTATTACTTATTTTACCTAATCTAGTCTTAAATAATTTAAAAAGATCCGTACTTTTAATTTTAGTTACTTTTATAATAATAAATAAAGAATAAATATGAAAAACAAGAAATAAAGTACTTACCCAATCTTCTTTTTTCTTGCACTCGATTGTCGAGGAAAGTTAAGCCTGATTTTTTTATAGTGATTATAATAAAGCACTTAACAATTTTTATTTAATTAAATAATACACCAAAAAATATATACTAATAACATGCAAAAAGTCAACAAATTCACTTACTTCTAGAAATTTTCCTGGATTTCTAACTATGCAACAAAAGCTGTTACAAATTCATCCAATCTTGTCGTTAACTTTCTCACAGGAACGATGTTGCTACTTCGAGTGAAATTGATGGTTATCTGTTCAGAACACAACATTATACAATATGCCATATGATAGATGAAAACCTTGACTTTCTATTGGTTATAGGTAATATATAATGAAACGTAAGAAGGAACTATCAACGAATTGTGAAAGAGAGGATGTGATAAGTGGGTGTAGCAGGAGGGGTATGATTTTACAATCGATAGCTCTGTAACCAAACATTTGAATGCTATAAAAATTATTGTCTGTTTGAGCAATAATGATTTTATAGAGAGTATTTTACGTTTAATTTCGTACATTTTTGAGGGGTGATGGATAAAATAGGGATGATGACATGCTAAGACAAAATTTGTCATATTTCAGGATTTCCTAAAATATTGTCTTGTAGAATTAAGAACTTAAAACTTATATACTATTGAAATATGAATTATTAGCTAAGATTTTATGCTATTCTAATTGGTATAACGTAAACAAAAACTAGTATAATAAAATTTTGAATGTTAGACACTAAAACCTTGTGTCATGCGCAGTAAAGAGCACCCGTGGAGAAAGGGTTAAACTTGTGTTTTTAGGTTGATTATTACTTTGTCTTTTTTTTTTTTTACTGTTTGGGTAATTGTAACTTTGACTAAATTTGTAGGTGTGTTGGTTCATTATTTTTACTTCTTTTCACTGTTTATGTTATTTAGTTTGTAAGTTCTTTTTATTTGCTACTAGCCACATCTAATTGGGGATTAGATTTGATTCAAAATTTGTTATTGTTAACTGGGTGCCTTTTTATTCTCTTGTTCTTCAGGGTAGGTTTTACTTTCATATTCTTTGTCTTATAGATTCTTTGGATGGACTTATGTGTTCGATATTTAAGGGTAATTTGTCTTCTAAGTTTCTTTATTGGTTTTGTACTTTAGGTGTTCTTATTGTTTTATGTTTTAAGTCAACTTTCATAGTTTTGCAGTTCTGTTATTTTTATGTACTTTGTAGACTCTACAGATTTCTAAGTTTTGTTAGCTCGTTAGTCATGAGTACTTTCTCTAAGTATATTTAGCTCGTGTGTCTTTTTAGCTACACTTCACGACAGTTCCATGGGTTCTACAAGTTCTATCTGTGGGTTTCTGCCTTCAGTTCTGCTCCCCCTCTATATTCTTCCCAGATTTCCTTTTCTCCTCCTCAGGATCATACCGAGTCCAGTTTTCTTGCTGAGTCTGTAATCGAAACCTTCTACACGAAGGAGCTATTGATTGGGTGGTACCCACTCAATCGAGATTTTACTACCATCTATTTGTTGTCTCCAAAAACACTGGAGATTGGAAATCCATCATAGATTTGTCCCAGCTGTATACTTATCTGGAGACACCTTGCTTCACCATGGAGTCGTACATCACTTCGGTGATTTTTTTCTCCAGGAATTTGGAT